TACTATTGTTATAAGTAACACATTCAATTGAACTAAGCTATGCATGCCTATTTAAATATATTTACACATGGCATGTGTATATCTTATATATACATATATATTATTCATACCTTCGGTGTATAGGATGCAAGCAGATTTTGACATCAAATTTGGAGGTAAAAAAGTGTGTCTTATACACTGAAAATTACGGTAATTTTAGAAGAATGTGTTTCCGAGATTTTGGGAAAATGGGTTTTCAGTCATGGTCTGCAAAAAAATATTCAATATCTTCTACTGTGCAAAATGGACAAACTTAAGTGGCTTATTTAGGATACTCTGTTCCTTGGGCAAGAGTTTCAAATCACTAGGAGTTGTGACAACCTGAATGGTTTCATACATCTTTGAGTTATTGGAAGCGGAAGCAGTAGTACCTGGGATGTTGGCTTCAAGTGGAGGGATAGTGATTGTATTCGATGTAGGTATGTCTGAGACCTGCCCTGCAAAATTAAAGTTTGCATCTCAAATTATTAGATGAGCATCTGAATCAAGGAAGTGTGTATCTATACATAGGGATTGTTGTAATAGGTTTGTATGCCTGTTATTTTGGTGTATTTTTTATTCTCCAAAGGTTTGTTGTGTAAAAATCCTGAAGGGTCACTATGAAGATTCATGTTAACAGCACTGTTTAAAAGTGTTGGATTTGGTGTAGGCTTACTTATGGCTTCAAGGCTATTATCTTGTTGTAGTTTTGTCAGGCCACCAACTAGGTGATCGAGCACAAGAACATCTAAACCATATGAAACCGAGGAACCAGGATACACCAATAAGCAAATATTTCACCATCAACAACCATACATTGAGGACGTTTCAGTTCTTGGACTTAGTGCTCTGACAGACATTCACAAAAGAGAATGACTGAAAAGGAGATTAATCTAAAACCTGGAGACCCTACAACTGTCTGGTTTAAACAAATGTTTTCTTTCCTATAGATTTTAATTGTAATCTGTCTTATCTTTTCATGACTTGTAATATTTATGTAAAAGATGTAATTTTGCACAGAAAGTTCATGCTCAACATTCCAAATAATGAGCATGCATTTAAAGGGAACCACATTGTGCAAGGTAAACAAAATATTGATTCTGACAGGGAGAAATTTGTTGATGCCATCTTGGAGAAAATTGATCAAAGATTTCCAAACAACGACAGTAGTATCATGTATGCCTTTGGTGTGTCTGCAAAGAGACCAGTATCATTCTGTTCTCAGATGGACCCTCAGACTTGGGGTAATGAGCAGCTTGAATCATTAATTAGTTTATATGGAAAGTCTAAAATGTATAAATCTGCCAAAGAACAAACTGCTGATAGCATCGAGACAGTAGAACTAACCATGATGCTGAAGCCACAAGGCAAGAATGATCTTTGATAAAGCCTTTAATAGTTAGAGTTTTGTCGTGAATTTTTGCCCATCCATCTATATGCAGTACAATGTGTGGTAATGTAACTAACTGAGCTGTATACACTGTACTGTTACTACACATAGCCATTCACGATCAGTTGAGCTCCATACAAAATTTACATGCATAAAGCAGTTTGCCCACAATAAAAAGTTTAGTGACTAGAATAGTATTTTTAGCCAATCACAAAAGCTAACTTTTCTTGATGTTTTCAGCCCTTTTGGTGGATTGTACTAACATTTTTCTTGTAAAAAGAACAAACTTTTTTAACCCTATCACCATGGGCATCCTTTATTTCACGTCACATTCAAAATTTAATTAAACCACTTTTTGTTTATGTTATACCAATTAGTATAGCATAAAATTTGTCGCTAATAATCTATATTTTAATATTATAAAAGTTTTAAGTTCTTAACATTATTAGGCAATATTTAAAAAAATACTGAATCTCTCCTATTGTGAGAAATGCAACATTTTCTCTTCATATCCCCTCTTCTGTATTTTATTCACCCCTCCCAGTAAGTACGAAATTTAACTTAAATCCTCACTGTAAAATCACCATTGCTCAGACAAACCATAATTTTTATAGCTATCAATGTTGTTTGGTTACAGAGCCATCAAATAGAAAATCAGACCCCTCTTCCCACACCCACCTCTCACGTCCTCTCTTTCAGGATTTGTTAATAGTTCTCTCTTACTCTTAATAATATATTATGTATAACTAACAGAAAGCCAAGGTTTTCATATATCAAATGACATATTACATTGTTTTCTGAACAGAGAATTGTCATTTTCTCTGTTAGTACAAGCTTCGTTCCCACGTGAAAGATATCAACTAGCTTAGATGAATAGTTAGAAAGCCAGAAAAATTGTTTTAGTTAGGGAAAATTGTCTACTTTTTGCATGTTATTATTCCATGTTCTTTGGGGCATTATTTAAATAAATAAAAATTTTTTAGTGCATTACTATCATTAATATAAAAAAAAGTAGGGTTAAGTGTCCTCAACAGTCAACATAAAAAAAAAGACCCAGATAAGTAATTTATTTCTTGTTTTTCATGTTTATTCTTTATTTATTATTATAAAAGTAACTAAAATGTAAAAATAGGGATCTTTTTAGGTTAGTTAAGGTTGGATTAGGTAAAATAACTAATAATAATAATAATATAATAAAAATGTTTCATGAGGCATGCACGCAAGCAGCTCGGAGTAGCTCATGGGTAATGTAATTTGATAGTGTAACATAAGCTCCACGTTTCCCAAGGGACTTACAACTTATAATGGCATGAATAATAGTAGTTTGATGTAGTAAAATGTAAGTATAAATAGATGTATACCGTTACAGTTTTAAAGCTACTTAGGATAAATGAATCAGTTTC